TCACTTTCCCTGGTGCCCTTGTTCATCTTCCCAGATGCACATAGCCGTACCCCAGTGCATTGTATTCCATCGGAAGTCAGGCCATGAGGGCAAGTGAGGGCTGGTGGAAGGTGCCACAAGATTGGGGTCAGGCTGTGCTTTGCTTCGCTCTTTGTGCTAGGGCTTGAACCTGCAGCTTTCACACCGAGCTCAATTCTTTGTTTGGTTGGGTTTTTTGTATTTTAGGGAAGAGTCTACAGGGTGTGCAGGGTGTCACTACTAGATCAGACTCGTAGTGATCCGCCTGTCTACAGCCTCCCAAGAGCTGGGATTTCAGGTGCGCACCACCACGCCCGGTCTCAATTGCTGTCTCAGAGTGCCCCAGGGACTGAACCCCTGGCCCCTGCACCTGCTTGCAAGCACTTTAATCCTCTGAGCTATTTGGCCAGCCATTGTGTTTTTGTGTTTTGAGATATGGTCTTGTTGAGCTAGCCAGACCAGGCTCAGACTTGCACGTTCCTGCCTCAGCCTCCCAGAGTGCTGGGATTTCAGCTGCTTACCATGGCCATGCCCAATGAACTCAGCCCCTGTGTTGCCTTCCCTCTGTGGACATTTAATCGAAGTATAATTATACTTTGTAAGAGTTTATTCTTGGCTTGTACTGAATGCTTTGCATTAGGGATCTTATTCCACAGAGAGATGGGCCCTCGCTGGTCCCTGTGAACCGGGGCACCAGAACTGCCTTCCTCACCTTGTTGGATTTTTGGCTTCAAAGGATCCAGATTTTTGTGGTGGGGACACAAACTTCACATCATCAAAGCAGGCCGGTTCCTTGCCGCCCACCCACTATCAGGTAGGTGCCTTACCAGCACGCTGGGGACAGACCTCCCAGGAGCACATTTGAGCCTTTATAAACTTTTGCAGTCACCTGTATGCAGCCTGCAAAGTTAAGTGACTTCGTTAGGGAGCGACGTCACTTCCTGCTTGGAGTCCCACAGCTGGCATTAAAACCTTTGCAGGGGCTGTGGCTATCGCTCGGCCTGGCAAGCGCAAGGGCCTGAGTTAGATTCTCTACCAAAAACAAACCACAACGCTGGCAGAAAAAAAGCAAGTGGCCTGGCAGCCAGAGGGTTCTGCCCAACCCCTCCCCAGCCTCTGCTGTCTGAGTCTGACCTGGGCGTGGGGCGGGGTGCGCCTTTTGGTCCTGGGCCACCAAACCTTCCTGACCTTATTCGATTTTGTTCCATTTTGAGACAGGGTCTCCCTATGTAGTCCAGGCTGGGCTAACTCGCTGCCCAGCCCAGGCTGGCCTTGAACTCAGGATGGTCCTCCTGACTCAGCTTCTTGAGTGCTGGGATTATAGGCGTGTGCCGCCACACCCCAGTCATTTGATTTTCATATCCAGAGTCAAGCTTGTTTATTTAAAAGGGAGACATAGCTGAAAACAGCAGTTTCCCCTTTTAACTGCTGTGTCCACAGGGTGGGTGTGGCGTTGGCTTCCAGGCTTCTGGCCCGGCCGTGTCTCACGAAAATGCTCAGAAAGATGCCAGTGGCTTTATTTTCTTTGGTTAATAACAGACTTTGTCTTGCATGGGACACACACAGCTTTTAAAGACTCCACTGTCCCCGTGAACCGTGACAGGGCCTTCCCCAGGCTGTCCCCCTCGGTCCCCTAGACCTCATCTCTCTCTGCAGCTCAGTGCTCCTCAGAAGGCTTGGAGGCCACCAGGATGGAACCCACTGAGGCAGTGGGGCCTCCCCCAGGCAGAGGAAGTGGCAGTTCTGTGGTCATTTGCTGGGCGCCCACCCAGCCCCACACTTGGCCATGGTGGCCCTTGCCTAGGATTTCCCTCAGGTTACCTCCCCTTTGTGGGGGCTCCCGCAGCCCTCAGGTTCTGTGTAGCTTACACACAGAACCTGTAAGCCTGTGTGTGTATGTGTGTGTGTGAGTGTGTGTGCGCGTGCACATGCACAGGGCCAGTGAGAGCAGCAGGACACTGTCCCTCGCTGCAGAGCCACCGTGGAGATGAAGGCCAACACCAGGGACTTGGTGTGCACGGAGCTCTGGGCTGAGCTGATGCGTGCTGGTATGGGTGGGTGCAGCCCGCCAGGGGCCTGGGCTCTGTGGGTGGCCAAGTGCTTGCCACTTAGTTAAGACCCGCACTGTGAGAGAGCCCTGAATGGGAAAGGGAAGAACTGGAACAGGAGGGATCCAGACGGCCTTCCACGTGCCAGGCACACCCTGGCACCAGAGATGGGGTGGCACATACCCCGCTTCCACAAGAGGCAGCCCAGGTGAATTTGCCCTCCTGCCCGGAAGCCAGGAGCTCACCCCGGGGCTGGCCCAAGTTTGCTGCATTCTCTTTTGGACCGGTGTTCCTTGTAGGCCCCAGGGCAGATACCTGGGCCTCCAGTCTGGGTGGGCACAGCCCTGAGGCTGTGTGGTGCTGGGCAGGCTGGACACCCCGCAGGCGCAATCAGCAGTGTTTATCGAGAGCTGGACTGTGGCCCTCCCTATTCCTTTGTCCTCCTGCTTCTGGCCTAAGGAAATCCTTGTGACTTTGGCAATCCAGCTGTAAATGACAGGGTTCGACCCACAGCTATTCAGAATGAAACGTGGAGCAGGGGTGGATGGGGTAGGAGATGGTGGTGAATTTCAGGGTGGGTGCAAGGACTGAGCGAGGCATCCACAGGGCCTCTCAGGCAGGGCTGGATGCCGCAAAGAGCCACTGTGTCTCCTCCCTGTGCAGCCTGGCTGCCACCCCTGCTGGCCTTCCTGGTCTCTCTGAGGTCCATGCCCCACCGATAGGCCACCTCTGGCCCCAGACAACTGTGACTGGCTCCTCCTGAGGCCCCCAGACAGCTCCATGCCGTTCTGAACTCAGAACATCTGACTGCCCTGCTCAGAGTTAGGTTCAAAGGGCCCCAGGCTTCCAGCAGGAATCCTGCCCAAACATTTTCGGTCTTTTTTTCCACTCCCAGCAGTTCGTGCCCTGCGGGTCTGTCCTTACCTCCCTGTGCTTGTTTGTGTCTGAGGACAGCTGGAGGCTGGGCACTTCAGTTGCACTGGGGTGGTGGCCCCTCTTTCTCAGGGGGTGATAACAAGTCACCGCTGTGCATCCTTGGACACACCATCTGGGTACCATTGCCTGTGTGCTTGGCACCTTGTAAGCCTCACGCACTTTCCCAGCAGCTTTGTGGGGGTCCAACAAAAGCCCTGTTTTGCCTCCAGAGAAACTACAAGTGGCTCACAGGGATGGGTTGGCCTGGACAGAGCACTGGGCAGCTGTGAGGCTGAGCCTGTCTGGCTCCAGGGCTGATGGCTGTTCTTTGCTCTGCACTTGCTGCAGCTGGGTTTTGTGCTGAGGACAGAGGACCTGGCCCTGCTCTCAGGACCCCTGAGGCTGAGTGGGCACAACTGACCCAACAGGACCCTGGAGGTGTGGCGTCCCCATGGCAGGATGGGTGGCCAGGCTGGGGCTGGGGCTGCAGCAGGAGCCCCGAGGGCTGGGGTAAAGCAGTCCCCAGGGTACAGGGACAGCTGCGTGGCTGACAGTAGCCTTGATGTCAGGCTACTCAGCTTGGGCATGACACTGTCATCTAAGTACTAAACTACAGCAATCTCTTAACTGTCACAGAGGGTCTTGGGTTTTGTGAATAGTTAAAAAAAATAATGGAGCAAGAATACATGTGTGGAAGTAGGAATGGGAGCCTCGGAGGGCTTTTGGGATCCATGCCAGATGTTCTGACATTGTGACTAATCGATGCCACTGGGGACCAGGGAGAGGACAACAGGATTTCAAGCCAGTGGGTGGGTGGTCAGGTCACGACAGACCCAAAGTCTTTGCTGTGGCACAGCTGGCCACGCTTGACCCCACACCCCAAGAGCTTGCTGCTAACCCTGGTGATGGTGACTCGGGGTCACTCCGGAGCCCCCAGACAGAGGGACGGCTCTGGTCACCGGAGATGTGCTCAAGTCGAGACCTCTTCCCGGCCTCCTCTCTGTTTGTCTGCTCCAGGCACGTCCGCCTGGAGCCTTTCTGGAAGTTTCTCCTCCTCCTCCTCCTGAGCAGGCTCCGGTGTCCTGAGCTTGCACTGGTGGGGGTGATCATGAGGGCCAGCGGCTCCGGCAGCTCAGCCTCACCAGATGGCGGGGCTCCCTCAGGGCCACCCGGGAGCCACCTTCTGGATGGCGGGCTTCGAGCTCAGACCGAGCAGCCCCACAAGTATGCTGGGAAGTCGTCAGTGAGGCAGGGGAGTGTTTCTTAAAGCCCACTTTGTCACATCTGCTGAGAGGCCTGCGCCAACCGAGCAAAAGCTGTGGGGGCCGTGGGACGTGCCTGGGGCAGGCTGGGGGCCTGTCCCTCTCCAGGCTTGCACTTGAGGCGGTCTGGCGCTGAGGGCGAGGGCCAGCAGCTGGAGCAGGTGGCCGGCACTTCTGAGGTTAGTGCTCTCTGCCTGGCCAGCTGCATCTTCACCGACCTTGTCCGCGTCTCCCAGCGAGGGCCTGTGATGGCCGGGTAGGGACAACACCAGCCCCAGGCTCCTCTGCAAGACTGGGCTGACTGCCGCCCCTAAAGTAAGTTGGCGTGAGATTAAGAGAATGAACTTGATGCTAGCCTAGGGACAGGGGCTCTCCTGGGTGTCTCCTGAGACCTTCTTTCCGGTCTCCTATGCAGGGAGTTGGGCTCCTTGGCCCCTGCTGCTCCTCAGCTGCTGACGGTGAGGCCTCTCAGCCTAGCTGACCCTCGCCTGCCTGCTGGGCTTCTGCTGGGCTGTGCCTGTCAGAGCGGGGCTCTCAGGTCTTTCCAGCAAAGACTCAGCTGTGCGCCCCGGGTGCTTAGCTGTCGTTTGCAGAGTGACTAAAGCACGGGCTCTTGTGCCCACGGCCCCTGCCAGGTCTGATTTACTGCTCCAGTGAGGACCTAAGCAAGCAGGTGTCCTGATGGGCACGCTGGGGGTAGGGGTCTGTGCTGGGCACATGCTGAGCCCCACGTTGGCTTGTTCTCTTCCCTGTGCAGGGGAGGCAGATCTCCTCATGGAGGCCTGCTGTACAGATGGACACCAGATGGCCACTCAGCACCGGGACTGCTCGCTCCCGTATGCCACGGAATCCAAGGAATGCAGGTACGGCTATCGCTGGCCACCAACTGAGCAGTGTTCCTTTAGGGAACAGCGGGAGAGGGAGAGGCAGTGAGTCCGGCTCCTGAGGGGCTGGGCATGCCCTTGGGGAGGACCCAGCACTTCGCAGCTCCTTCCACAGGGCTGGCATGGGACTTGGCCCACCGTGCTGGCCACCCTGGGCTTGTTAGGGGTCCACCCTTGCTGGGCTGGGAGCAAGGCTGGGTCTGCAGCCCAGTGTGCCACAGCCAGGCCGGCTCCCTCCTGGGAAAGGGGTTTCCCATGGGGATGGGTGGCCAGCATCGCACGACTGCACGTGCTTCATGGGTGCTTGCGTGGGCCTCACCCTGCTCCCCTTAGGCCCTGGACATTTACGGGAGCCAGGCCCAGAACCCACATTTCCCAGGTGGCTGTTCGACTCTCACAATAGCCAAGGCCTGGATTGACTGCTTTCTCTCCATAAATTCACTCAAGCACCCTCCACACTTTGGGAAACTGTGTAGCCTGTACATGATGGAAAGAGGCCACACTGATCATTGCAAGCCAGTGTGGAGCCCCTGCTGTGCGCTGCACGTGGTGTACGTTGTCTCACCTGTAATTAATCCAGTTTTGTTTTGCTTTTTAAAAATTTTATGTATTTGTTACAGGGTCTCACTAAGCAGCTTAGACTCATAGTGATCCTCCTGTTTTAGCCTCCCCAGTGCTGGGATTACAGTTGTGTGGCACCACGCCCAGTCTCACTGGCCAGGTCGGTGTGCCTGGTAAACACGGCATACAGTACTGGGGACTGAACTTGGGTCCTTGCCAGGTAGGCCCTTAAACTGCTGAGCTATCTCTCTGACCCATTAATCTCATTTTGTAGCAGGTACTTTGGGCTTTCCCAGGTGCACGGCTGTGAAGCGGTGGCCTTGGAGTTTGAACTCATGGTTTGGCTTTTATGAGCCTTGCTGCGGTAAATCAATAAAGATCAACTTAAGTCATTTGCAGGAGAACGGATGCACCCTGAGACCGTAAGGTGAAGTGAAATAAATCAGACACGCGAGCTTAGATGGCACTTAATTTCTCTCCTTGAGAAGCCCAAACTATAAATCAGTTACAAAGCAGAATAAAAGATGGGTCATGGGAAACAGGGAACCCGACTGTTTGCAAAAGGGAAGGGGCAGGAGATGGATGGAGGGGAGCGGAGGAAGGGGATAAGCCAGGCTCGGATGAGCTACCCACGTGCACCAAGTCCGCATGGGGATTGTAGTCCTTGCACACAGCAGACACACGTGAAGTGAAACAGCGCTTGTAGCTGCCGGCCCGAGGAGCCCAAGAAAAGGCAGGGTAGGAAAGGGGCCCAGCCATCTTCGTCTGTTTCTTCTGACTCTAATCTGCATCGATGTCCTCTGCTCCCCGGTGCTGTGAGGTGCTGGGTGGCTGAGGGCCGTCGCCTCCCAAGGCAGGCTTGCGTTTGTGTTGGCATCGAGAAGCTGCTGCTGCCTGCCAGCGGAGATGGTGATGCCAGGCCTGACAGAGGAAGCTCTTGCAAAGTCAAGAGTGTTAGCAACCGGACAAAGGAAGAAAAAGTCCAAGCTAGAGGCTTGGACTGCTGAGTGGGCTGGAGGGCCACGCGGACAGGGTCAGGAAGGTCTTGCCAGCTGCGAACTTGGGAGTGTTTACCGCAGAGAAGGCAGCTCAAATAACAGATTTATTTCCTCCCAGCTGTGGAGACGGGAAGCCCATGGGCAAAGCGTCTGTGGGGCTGGCTCCTCCAGGGCCTCTTTCCATGTCACCTCTGTGTGTATCCTCTTCCCCTCCTCCTTTGAGGATAAGAGCCCAGCCTAGTGACCGCATTTTACCTTAGAGACCTCTTTAAGCTCCCCCACCCCATCAATACAGTCCCTGTGGGTTAGGACCTGTGCAGACGGCGTCTGGGCTGCCACTACGGTCACTGCTTATTGGAATCTATGACTTGACCTGCTGTGCCGGCCCTGCCCCCGGGGCACGCCGAGCCGGTGATTGAGACTGGGTATGGTGAAGTGAGCCTAATCCCAGCTCTCGGGAAGCTGTAAACAGGTGGATCACTACGAGTCCGACCTAGTATTGAGACCCTGAATACCCTGTAGACCCTTCACTAAAATAAATAAATAAGTAAATAAGAAAGAAAGAAATCTATGACTTGGAAAGTTTGACACCAGGCAGCTGAGCTCCTCTGTATACAGACAGAAAACCTGCGCCCAGCGCCTCAGCAGCCTAAGTGCTGGTTGTGAATTTGGATTTTCGTTCCTACTAAACATACTGTGACTTTCCCCACTAGTGTCTGGAGGTTTTGGAGCTGTCACGATCCCCCGGGTGCCTTTTCCTATCTGTGTCAGCAGCAGTAAATTTCAGATGCTTCGTAAGTGTGAGAAGTACCCTCTCAATGAAGGGTGTGGCATCCCCTCTCGGCTGGCAGTGGGGCTGCCCATCCAGGCTCTGTGAGGACCTCCCAGCTTATTTCTGGTGGCGGTCCCTTGTCCTGCACAACGTGGGGAAATCCTGGCTGAAGATTGTGAGTGTCCCCAAAACGTCACTGAATGTCATGACCCCACTCATGGCTCACCCACTATAAGTGGCCGGCCCTTTGATTCACTGAGGCCCACAGAGACCAGTTCATTGTCCCAGGTGGGGCACAAGGCATGTTTCCAAGGCCTCTTAGTGAGTTAGCCACTGAGGACCAGCGGCTCTAACTGGGCACTGCCCAGCGGCCTTTGTGCTGTCCCCACCTGCCCCTGCTCCCCTGCATGGGCCCCCTGTCTCTTGTTCACGAGGCAACTAAACCTCACGAGGTAAGTAGAGACCAGGAGAGATGGTACTATCTAAAAATTCAACAGGTGGGCCTGGGGTGCCAGTGCGGGGATCTCTCCCAGACCCTCTGGGAGTCCAGTCCATGAGTCCAATTTGGAGCAAGGTCCAGGATGGGAGGGAGGGACCTGCCCTTAGGACCAAGCACAGGGCTGGCCATGGGAGGGATTTCCCAGGGCCCTAGGGTCAGGGCTTTTCATGGAGGCAGAGAAGGGAGAGAGTGGACCAAACTTCAACTCTGAAATGTGAGGGTCCTCTCCTAGGAATATTGAAAAGATGCAGAAGACAGGCATTGATGACCCCTCGGCTCACCTGTCATTTTTCCGTCACTCTTCTTGCTCCAAAGCCGCATTCTGTGGGGCTTGCGGGCTTTAGGCTCTTGGTTTTCATTCATTCACCCAATCTTCATCGATCCCACTGCCATTTCAAGCTCAGGACGAGAATCAAGGCGCTAACAGGGAGTGTGAGCCCGGTGCTAGGCCATCCAGGGCAAGAGGGGAGGCTGGAAGCACCCAGGGGCTCTGAGCGCCCAGGCTGAGGTCCACTTCTTGTTGGGTGAGGGGCTGGCCCAGCTGCCTGCAGTTTGACAGTGACCCTGGGGTGGCTGGGGCATGGAGCCTCACTTTGCCATCTGAGGCCCTGTCGTGTGCTCATGGCATGAGTGTTGTGGAGGTACCAGTCTGGGTGGGCTGGGCAATCTGGGTATAAACTAGGATCTCAGCCCGGCCTTAATGGTGCCGCAGGGAACAAGAAGGATCCTGGGCTGCGCGGCCTCCTCAGAGGCTGGACTGAAGCGGCCCGGAGCCAAGACGGGCCAGGGCACGTCTGTTTGAACCTGTCTTTAAAAGGCACCTGTGTGGCAGGCGAGGGAGGGAGGTGGCAGCTGTGGGACCATTGGTTGTTCTGGCAATCGAGGGGGAGAAGCCTGTGGTTTGGAGCCAGGCGGGTGCCCAGGAAGTGGCTGTGACGGTGCCAGCTGTCCTCATGGGGAATGCAGGGCGATTCAGAGGAGCGTTGGGTGGCCCAGCTTCTGATGTGAGCAGCTGGGCAGGCAGCATGTCTGGACGAGAAGGGGTGCCAGTCTGGGGTGCAGGGAGGAGCAGAGCAGGGTTGGGGCTCCGGTGTGGGAGATTAGGCCTGGTTAGGAGTGTGGGGACAGCTGGGCCATGGGCTGGAGAGACAGCGTCAGCTCAGGTGGCACTGAAAGTCCAGAGGTGAGGTGAGACTGTAGGGTGTGCCCAGCAGCCTCACTGTGACAAGCAGGCCCCTTCCCACCTGCGGGTTCAGGAATCCATGCAGGGTAGGTTTGGGATGGGGGCAGAGGTGCAGCGACCGAATGACTGGATGACCAGCTGCCCCTCTCTTCCCCTAGAAGAGCTGCTAGAGATAGATTGTGTTTTGGCTTTCAAAATGGGTTCCCTGGAGCCTTTGTGCTTCTCAGGAACCTGGAAGGGGAGGCTGCGGCCCTGCTGTCCCCAGCACCCTCGGAGGATCAGAACCTGAATTGAGTCCGAGCTCTCTCTCGGCCATCATCATATGAGATGATGGTGCTGCACCCTGACTTTGACCCATCCCTTGCTGAGCCGCTAGTATTTCCAGGTCAGCTGTACCAATGCAGAGACCAGCTGCAGAAAAGGGTCTCAGCCTGGATGCCAGGCAGGATGGTCTAACCCCAGACACTGCTGCTGTGGGCTCGGGGACCCTTGCCACACCTGGATAGTGCAGGGCTCGGCCAGGTCAGCCAGGCAGCAGGGGGAGAGTGGGGCCCAGGGGCAGCTCCCCAGATGCCCGGTGGTGCTCCTTCCCATCCAGGGCAAAGTTTAGTGTCCGCTGTCCCACAAGGAGAGGGTAACAGTCTCCCTTCCTAGCCCCAGAACTGGCACACAGTAGTACCACACCTGATGCTTTCAAAAAATTATGATAAAAAGCAGGACGTGGTGGTGGCACCCTTGAAATCCCAGCACTCAGGAGACTGAGACAGGAGGATCACTGTGAGCTAGCCAGGGCTAAATCATGAGACCTTGTCTCAAAACAACAAGAGAATAGAGCAAGTGTGGGCACCGTGAAGTGCGCCATCCGAACCGTTTCTGAATGTTCGGCGGCCCTGAGCCCCGTCACATTGCTGTGCAGCCGTCACCACCATCCATCTTGGACCTGGCATGAGTAAAATTCTGACCCTTGCACAGAAAGTTCTGGGCCTGGGATCTAGCTTAATGGCACAAGCACCTGTCTGGCAAGCACAAGGTCCTGAGTTCGATTCCTGGTTCCAGAAAACTCCCAAACAAACAGGAATTCCCCCACCCCAAACCCCTCTCTTTCCAGCCCCTGGCAGCCCCCTCAACTCTGTTTCTGAATTCGATGGGCTTTGAGTGACCCACACGGGATGTTCCCTCTTGCAACCGGCTTGTGTCCCTCAGCATCAGGCTCCAAAGGTTTGCTTCTGTTGTCGTGTGGATCCTTGTAAGGCTGAACATCAGCCTGCTGTGTGGCTGAACCACTTTTGTTTATCTGTTCCTCCACCAGTGGACACAGGGGAGGGCCGCCCCCCCCCCCCAGTGTGAATAATGCTGCTGTCAAAACAGGTGGGCAAGCGTCTCTTTGACGCTCTGCTGAGTTCTCCCAGATGTGTGCCGTAATGGGATTGCTGGACCCTGCTGTAATTCTATTTTTATTTTTTTAGTTTTTGAGGAATCCCATGCTGTTTTCCGCAGCAGCTGCACCACTCTCCACGCCTGCCAGCACTGCACAGGGTTTCCAGGTTCCCCACGCCCGTGCCAACAGCTCCTACTCTCTCTTTGGCAGTCTTTTCATGAATGCATGCGTATCTGGCGAGGATGCAGGGCCACCGCTCAGGCAGTGTAGTGAAATGCCATCTGTAGAGCTGCCGGAAGTGTGAGTGGTGTGGTGTCACACGAGACAGACAGATGCGTACTGGGCCTTGAGGGGAGATGTGCAGACTCGGAGAAAGCCTGGGCCTGACTTCTAGCCCTGAGGCAGGGGGACAGAGTACTGAGGACAGAGGTGGCCCGGCCGGCAGCACGGGGAGGCTGGATGGGCCCTGCCCACCCTCGCGGATGGCATGGGCAGGGTGCCTCTTCCCGCACTTGCTGGCTTTGGCCTGGAGCTGGGGCTATTTTGGGTGGGGATGGAGGCACCTGGGACAACACGCCTCCCGCTGTAGGGACTGCTCTCTGGGCCCTGCGCTGTCATGGGCTCACAGCCATGAGAAGGAAGCCACTCCAGCAGGGCTGGTCCTCCACCCCAGGCACTCAGTACCTGCAGGAGATGGACTTGTGGCCGGACACCGTCCCTGTCCCTGTACCCCAGCTCGCTTGAGCACACTGTGTCACAGCGCATCGAAGGCTGTTTGCTCAGAGCCCAGAAAGGGGAAGTGAGCATTGAAAATTCAGCTCCGGAAAAAGATGAGCTGGTTGGATGGCCTCGGGCGCACCGGGGTTTTGGTTTCTAAGCAGGTGGGAGAGAGCCCGGGGTCCCGAGTCTGCTTGCTCCCCCCAGGCCGGGATCTGCGCTCAGGGCCTGCTCCCGAGCCCTGCCCAGCCCCTGTCCCCGCAGGATGGTCCAGGAGCAGTGTTGCCACAACCAGCTGGAGGAGCTGTACTGCACCACTGGCATCAACCTGGCCAACGAGCAGGACGGCTGCGCCGCGCCCCGTGGTGACAACACCAGCCTGGAGGCCATGTTCGTGAAGGTGAGGCCCGGCCCGGCCCTGCTGACCCGCAGCGGGGCCACCCAGCGTCCTCTCATCTGTCAGCTCGTGCGTAACGCTTACCAAATGTCACCTCCCAGGGAGGGCTGGGGCTGTGCGCGGCATATGACTGTGCCCTGACCCCAGACTTGAGGGAAGGAAGGCATGGAGTGGCCAGCACGGTCCAGCGGCTCTGTCTAGCAGGGAGGGTAGAATAGCCGGGAGGATCCCTCACTTCAGCCTGCACAGACGGACGCTAAAGCCAAGGCACACCCTCTGCTCCCACTCCGAAAGTCCTGGAATGTTCTGGAAAGCGCTGCAGGGGGCTCTCCAGGAGTCGGGGCATGTGCGCACTAGGGCTCAGATGTGAGCACTCAGGAGTGATTTGGGAGCTGGGGTCCAGGTAATAGGCAGTGGCCCCATTTGATGTTTGGAGGTCCATATGCTTTATGTTTATTTATTTATTTTTGCTTTTTTATTTTATTTTATTTATTTATTTTTGTGGTACCAGGGATTGAACTCAGGACCCTGCGCTTGCCAGGCAAGCACTTATTCTACTGAGCTATCTCCCTGGCCCTGGTTCATATGCTTTAAGTGGGACCTAAACCCCCAAACCTGAGAGGGGAGAGACCTGTGTGTGTGTCCATTGCTCAGGCCATAGTGGAGAGGAATAGACCCTTTAGAGAGGAACTTCTGGGTCACCCCCCTTCCTGAGGTGGGGGGAGGGTGAGATTTGGGACCAGTCCTTCGTCACGGGTGGGAAGGGCAAGTGCCAGGCCCTGGGGATTCCTCGCCAAGCCCCGGCCTAGGAGGCTTGGGAACTGTGCACAGGAGCTGCACGTCTCTGCTGCTTGCTGCAGGTGTTGACCCACGTGGCTGAGCTCCCTCTCAACCCCATTCCCCACTGGCCAGGGCCCATGGACGGGAAGTGTCAGGGAGACTGCGGAGTCCCCCGGGCACTGGCCTGAGTCTGACTTGTCCACAGAGGTGCTGCCACTGCTGCCTGCTAGGCCGTGAGGCCCAGGCCCAGGCCCAGAGCTGCGAGCCGAACCTCATGCTGGGCTACCAGTGCGGGCTGGTGTTCCGTGCCTGCTGCGTCCGGGGCCAGGAGAGCACGGAGCTGGCCCCCGGAGACGTCGGGGACCCCCAGGAAAATGGTAACTCGGCCTTCCTCTTGGGTGGGGTGTTAGTCAGGCTTCTCCAGGGTGTGTGTCTGTCCATGTACACGTGCGTATCAGTGTCTGCATACCCTTGTGTGTGTATGCATTTCTGTATGTGTGTGCTTTTGTGTGTCTACCTGTGTATGTGTGTGTGCATATGTGTGTACATGAGTGTACGCATACCTTTGCATATTTGTGTCTATATTTGTGTGTGCATTAGGGTATGTGTGTAGGCATTTGTGTGTCTATGTTTGTGTGTATACCTTGGTATGTGTATGCATTTGTGTGTATGTACGTTAGTGTATGCATACTTTTGCATGTGTGCATACATTTGTATGTTTGTGTATCTACATTTGTGTGTATACCTTGTGTGTGTACATTTGTATATGTGTATGTATTTGTGTGTATAGACGTCTGTGTGTATACCTTTGTATTTGTACACATTTGTGTATGTGGGTGTACACATTTGTGCATGTGCAAATTTGTGTGTCAGTGTGTGCGTACCTTTGTGCACACATATATGTACTTTGTGTGTGTGCACACATGTGGCTCTCCCCCCCTGCAATTGCCGTCTCTATGAATTTGAACACCACACATTGAAAATATTGGGGGACAATGTGTTGGGGCTGAATGAACGCACACAGACGTTTTCCTAGTCGTTCCTCTGAACATCGCAGCAAGCCACCTGTGTGCCTCGGCTTCGCGTTGCCCTCCGTAGTAAGGGCGCCGCAGGGCCACCAAAGGCAGGGGAGGGGCTGCGTCCAGCTTGGGCAAGCATTACTGACTTCTGTACAAGGCTGTGATCAGCCATGGGCTTCAGTGTCCTTGGGGATCGTGGAACTGCCCCCCGGGGCTGGATGCATGGCGGGGCCTGTAGAGAGTTTTATTTTAAGGAATTGCCTCATGGCTAGGGGGCTTTGGGCTGAAGACTCAGGGACAAGCTGACGTTGCATCTGGGGTCCGAGTCTGTCAGCTGCAGAACCCCCTCTTCCACGGGGTGGACAGTCTTTTAGGGCCTTCAGCTGATCAGGTGGAGGGACACCTGCTTGACTGCACCCACCGACCTACATAGTATTGGCCCGTCTGAAAGAAACACCTCACAGCCGCATCCTGGCAAGTGTCTGAGCATTTACTGAAATATTCTAGTGATTTGGATGAAATCCCACAGCAGGCTTAGAATGGATGCTTCCAGGCCGTGGTGCCTGAGTGCTTTCTATTCCTGTGAGAAGAGGGGTGTTTGGCTTCTCAGCAGTCAGGTAGGACTGTGCCGCCTCATCCGGCCCTGCCTCTCTTCTCTCCTTAGCTAAGATTGCTGTGGCTGAGGAGGAGCAGGAAGACCCCTACCTGAATGACCGCTGTCGAGGTGAGACTTGCGCCCCTCCGGGAGCCCTCGGCGGTGAATCAGCCGTAGGATCCTGGAGCTGAGGGCTACAGAGGAGGCCAAGGTGTGCAGCTGCAGCTGAAGCCGCTGCATTCACAGGCTCTGGGGACGATGGCACTCGTACCCCCAAGCCTGGAGGACCCTGGGCGTTGAGGTCCCTGGTGGCCTGGGCAGGATGCCTTCCAAGCATTCAGCTCTTCTCTCAAGGAGACTTTGCAGTCTTAAAGTAGGCAGGCAGGGGGTTTGTCCTGCGCTGCAACTTGATTTCCCCTTCGTGTCTGGCCCATGTGAATTGGCAGCCTGCTCCCCAGGTTTCCCTGCAGCCCGTGCTGTGGCTGGGGCTGTTAATTAGGGAGCCGGCCGAGTATGTGGTCAGTGGAATGCTGTGGTCAGTTCACGGTAACCACGGGCAGCAAGGTCAGGAAGGAGGGACAGAGAGGCCCAGAAAGCCTGGGCGCCCTTTCTGGGCTGTGGGAAGACCTCCTAGGAAAGGGTCAGCCACTTTGCAGTAGATGAGGATGATTTGCCAGGACAGCAAAGCAGCGCCCAGCGTGGGACCCTGCGGCCAGGGCTGGAGGCCAGTGGAGTGGGAGTGGGTGGAGGAGCTGAGGAAGAGGAGGAGAAGTGGGCAGTGTCCTGCAGCCCTTCTGCGCTCCAGCATTTGTCAGACCGCCCCGTGGGGAGTGTGAGTTGTGGGGATGGAACCACGGATTCTTGAAGAAACCAGGCAGGTGGAGGATGCGGCCATAGTACAGCTGGGTGGATGTAGCTGGCCCGGGGCAGCAGGGCTGGCCTGCGAGTGCTCAAGGGTTAGCAGGGCCTGTTGAGACCAGGCCCTCTCGTGGGAAACCTGCCACTCCCTTTCCAGCTCCACCATAGCCTCAGATTGTCAGAGACCCGCAGCAACGGCTTCCAGGGCCAGCAGAGGCAGTCAGGGGCCAGCTTTCTTTGAGCCCACCCCAGCAGTCCTGGGAACCCAAAGCCATGGGCCAATCCAGCCTGCTCACAGGGGCTCTGATTCCAGGTGGAGGGCCCTGCAAGCAGCAGTGCCGGGACACGGGGAACGAGGTGGTCTGCTCGTGCTTTGTGGGCTATCAGCTGATGTCAGATGGCGTCTCCTGCGAAGGTACAGTTCCCTGGGGAGCTGGCTGTCCTTGAGAGCCTGCCTGGAGGTCTGAGTGGGGCTCTGTTGGGGCACAAGCAGGGGCTGAGCAGCCTGGGCCAGGCTGTCCCTGTGCTCTGGAGTCCGCAGCGCGGTGGACCCTGGGCAGGGAGGGAGCTCTGGATTTGCTTTGGTGATGGGTGCCCTGATCCCTCCCGCTCAGGGCACAGCCCTGTGCACCCACGGTGGAACTCAGTTCAGTGTGAATGGACAGTTTGGTAGACGCAGGAGAGCAGTTCTACGTGGCTTCTGGAAGTTTCCTTCTGATAAAATATAAGGGTCTGTCGTTCTTGCTGGTCACCCGTGTGTCACCTTGATTTCCTAGACGTCAATGAATGCATCACAGGCAGCCACAGCTGCCGACTTGGAGAGACCTGCATCAATACCGTGGGCTCTTTCCGCTGCCAGCGAGAGAGTAGCTGCGGCACTGGCTATGAGCTCACGGAGGACAATGACTGCAAAGGTACAGCCCGCATGGCACGGTGTGCTCAGCCCCAGGCCTGGGTGTGGTCCTGCCCAGCGTGGCTGCTGAGCGAGGTCTGCTCTGCAGAGCGGTCCCTTCCCGCTCATGCGGACAGCGGCTTGTATGGATCTAAAGGCTCAGTGCCTGATCATTTAAGATCACGGCAGGGCCGCAGGTCGGGGGCTCGCCCATGCTTTCTGCAGACCTGGAGCCTTCCGAGAAACAGCTCTGGGCGCACAGCAGCTGCTTCCCATCTGATTCCAAGCTTCCTCTAAGTTCAAAGCGGATCCCCTTCCGTTGCATAAAAGCATGACGTTTCTGGCTGCTGGCCTTTCTCTGCCAAGGCCGAGCTTTGTTCTTTGGCAGATGAGGCTCTGAGGAAAACCTTTTAGAACATAATTTTCTGCACAGGGCTTCAAGCCGTTTGGAACAAAACCACTTGTGTAAAAACCTTGAGGCTGAATCATGAGATGGATTCAGACCCAGGCACACCCTCCTGACATCTGGCGGCCTTTGAGCAGGTTCGGGCCACCCCAGCTCTGCGTGAGGCCTTTGGAGCCAAAGCTCAGGGGCCAGCCGGCTGAGCAGACACATCTGCACGTCTGGCGGCTGCATCCTACCCTGATGTAACCACTGCTAATATCTGGAATACTCTGCAGACTTCAGAATGGATATGATTATAGAAATTATGTTTATCACCACCAAGATAACTGCTTTCTGATCTAAACTAAACAAACACACTCTGCCCGAATGAATAATAGTAGATAGATCAGCCAGGAAAATGCCTGGGTTATTTATCATGTAACAGAAAGCTTGGGGCTAGGGATTTAGCTCAGTGGGAGGACATTTTGCCTAGCAAGCTGGATGCCTTGGGTTTGGTCCTTAGCGCACACACACACACACACACACACACACACAATCCAGAAAGCTTGCTTCCTAAATTTGTCCTGGAGCAGGTAGAATTTTAAGTCTTCAGCTGCTGGGGTGTGGTTTCACTGCGCCCTCTGTGGAATGCTTTGGGGTACAGTCTGAGTAATGGGCATTTGGAAGAAGCTGTCTTGCGATGTTGAAGTATTGTGAGATGTCTGTGGCGGTTCTCTGGCTAACCATCTCCTTTTTTTATGATGCACCAGATATTGACGAGTGTGAGAATGGTATTCATAACTGCCCCCCCGATTTTATCTGTCAGAATACTCTGGGATCCTTCCGTTGCAGACCCAAGCTGCACTGCAAGAGCGGCTTTATACAAGATGCGCTAGGCACCTGTATTGGTAAGACATACTGCCACCAGGCAGGGGGCCACCACCAGGCGGGAGGCCACCACCAGGC